AATACATGTAGTTAAAACAATAAATAAATATTTTTTTCAATTTAGATTGTGAAATAGTATCATTAGCTAGAAAATGCATCCAATAGTATAAGGAACAAATACACAAAACCTAGCGAACTGGGAGAAATTTCTGTTTGGTCATGTTTTAGATAATTGTAATCTTGTAAAATAACTTTCCTACATCATGGTTGAATTCTGTGGCTGATAATTCCTGAATGTAAAACGTATTCCAGTCAATGCAGCATACCCCATTCACACCAAATTGATATTACATTATTCACTGGCCTGTTGAGGATTTTAAAGATAGATTGCCCCCGGCAACGAAACATACGCCCACAGCAGCTAAGTCGTCCGGTAGGGAGAGAGAAATGGGGTTTAACATCCACTCGACACAAACTAGGTCATTTCGGGACTCGGGTAGAGGTCCTTAGCAGTGGCAGGAAACCGGAGGACCCGGAGAAAACCCACGAGGTTGGATAGGCTACCCTACACCTTGCCACGTTCAGCCGGGGAATCGAAACCACGCCAGTTGACTTAACGTCAGACCTTATGATACAACGCGCACGCGATAACCATTCGGCGATCGAAACCCCCTTGTCGGTAAGGAAAACATTTACAACACACTAAAATATAATAAAAACCCATTAAGTAATTGTCATACTTGTTTGGCTTCTAATTCTGCCCTATACTGACTTTGAGTAACATTAAATATCAAGGGCCATAAATCTGGAAGTCATTATCGGAAATCATTGAAAATCAACAGAATTCTTCATCTCATGACCATAATTGACCCCCTCTGTCTCAGTCGATAACCCTTACATAAAAACTATAGTTTCATCGAACCATGACATACCTCCTGTAACAACAAATACGGGCACAGTATTCACACCTATAGAAGATAGGTTGCCAGGCAACGAAACATACGCCCACAGCAGCTAAATCGTCTGGCTTTGACAGGCTTTTTCGTTTTACTTATTTAGATAATGCATATAAATTTTATACAGATCAGGTTCACAATCGCCATAACTCTAGAAATTATTGAAATTGCTGAAATTCAATAGACCTCTGTTTCACAAATTTAAATGATGCATATAAATTTCATACATATCGGATGATAACTTTCATCAAATAGGCATTAACAAGGTTGAACAAAGTGAAACAAGGGCCATAACTCTAGGAGTAATTATTGTAAATTTCTGAAATTCAATAGGCTTCCTTGTTTCACTAGAGCGTTCACAAGGTTCAATGAAGTGAAACAAGGGCCATAACTCTAGACGTAATGAACAGAAATTATTGAAATTAAATAGGCTAATTAAATAGGATAATAATTGTGACCTCTAGAGGGACCACAAGCTAAAAACGTGATTTTTCGTACAATCTGGTGCCATAAATCAGGAAGTTACGATCCGATATGCGCGAATATTGAAAGGAACCAAGATCTTTGTTTTATAAACCTGCATTTCAAGTTTCAACAAAATCGGGTGAAAATTGTGACTTCTAGAGAGTCCACAACCTTGATATACCATATTTTTACACTATTATTAGGGTATGAGGGGCGGCCATTTTGTCCGACAGTTTTGGTTCGAATTTTACGACATTTGAACTCATCCATCGTTATTAGAGTGTAGCAGTGATTTATTCAAAGTTTTTTTTAAATTGGATAAAAATTGTTACTTCTAAAGGGACCACAAGCTTAAACAGCGATTTTTCATACAATCAAGGGCCATAATTCAGGTCACAATTATTATCTGATTTACTAAAACGTTTGAATATATCACTGTTGCACCTTAATGTTGGTTGAGTTCTGATGGCCGCCTTTGTCAGAAATAGTGTAAACATACGCAAAAGTGTAAACATCTGGTATATCACGGTTGTGGGCCCTCTAGAGGTCACAATTTTAAACTGATTAGGTGAATGTCTTGACTGAGTTTAATGATTAACATTTCGAGCTGAAGCTAACCAGAGCTAATCAATTTCATTGGTCGATGCTTTAGGACAAGATCTGATAGAGAGTGATGAAACTTAGTATATAGTTTGATTGCTCGATACTTTTGATAAAAATAAATGTGCAAATAATTAATATGTGTCATCTATTTATTTTGGGATTTTGGCTGGGGACATCAGCCTCACTGTTGGCTTGTGATGAAGCTTGAATTACATGTTTATAACCCACAGATCTTGGTTCCTTTTGATATTTGCGCATATCGAATCATAACGTCCTGAATTATGGACCTTGATTGTATTAAATTTAGAGGTCACAATTTTTATCCGATTTAAAAAAAAAACTGTGTCAATATATCACCGTTAGACGCTAAGATCTTGGTCCCTTTTGATAATCCGAACATAACTTCCTGGATTATGACCCCTGATTGTTCGAAAAATCACATTTTTAGCTTGCAGATTCCCTAGAGGTCACAATTTATTTTTTCAGATTTTAAAAACCGTTTAAATATATCACCATGCCACAATTATGAAGGTTGAATTCGAATTTCGGAAAAATTAAAATGAAACTGCCCAACAAAATGGCCGCTCTTTGTACGCAAATTGTGTAAAAGTATGTTATACGAAGGTTGTGCACCCTCTAGAGTTCACAATTTTTATTATTATATGCCCACATTGAAATGTGGTCGTATATCGTCGTCGCCCCAGACGGTCTGTCCGGCCATCGATCAGGCAATCGGTCCGGCGTCTACAAGCAAAAGTTAATATCCGATTGACTTTAAATTTATACACAGTGTTTAAGGCCATGAGACAAAGAAGCCTATTGATTTTCAGCGATTTCTGAAAATTACTGTCAAAGTTATGGCCCTTGATCACTTCAAAAAATCTTGTGGATGCTCTAGAGGCTAAAGTTAATATCCGATTGACTTTAAATTTAGACACAGTCTTTGAGGTCATGAGACGAAGAATCCTATCGATTTTCAACGATTTCCGATAATTACTGCCAAAGTTATGGCCCTTGATCACTTTGAAAAATCTTGTGACACTCTAGAGGCTCAAGTTATCATCCGATTGACTTCAGATTCATACACAGAGTTTAAGATCTTGAGACGAACAAGTATATTGATTTTCAATGAATTTTTATGACTTGAACAGCTAAATCCATGATATTAAAAGTTTTGTATACTAAACATTAGCATTGGGCAGAACTTTATAGAACCAAATAAATTCTAATGGTTTTCTGATAAATACTTCATAAGTTGTTACTCTTAATCAGATTTTAGTGTATTATAAATGTTTCATTACCGGAAAAAAAGTAAAAATATGCCTGGCAATCTATCTTTCGATTTTGATGAAACTGCAAAATGTGGGCGTATCCTGCCTGGCAGCCGCTGTTTATCCAATTTTAACAAAACTCTTAATCAGATTTTAGTGTATTATAAATGTTTCATTACCGGAAAAAAAAGTAAAAATATGGTACAACACTTGTTGACACCCCGGACGATTTAGCTGCTGTGGGCGTATGTTTCGTTGCCTGGCAACCTATTTTTCGATTTTGATGAAACTGCAAAATGTGGGCGTATCCTGCCTGGCAGCCGCTGTTTATCCAATTTTAACAAAACTTTTAATATAGGTGTATCTCCCAAAGATCTCAGTTCCGTTCAAAATTGGCATGTATCAGACCGTAACTTCATGGATTATGGCCCCTGATTGTACGAAAAATCACGCTTTTAACTTGTGGACACTCTAGAGGTCACAATTTTTATCCGATTTTGATGAAACTTGAAATGTAATGTTTATAACCCAAAGATCTCAGTTCCTTTCAATATTTGCACATATCAGACTGTGGCTTCCTGTATTATAGCCCCTGAATGTACAAAAAATCACGTTTTTAGCTTGTGGTTCCTCGAGAGGTAATAATTTTTAACCGATTTTAAATAAAAAGTTTAAATATATTACTGTTACACACTTATGATGGTTGAGTTTGAATCTCATGAAAACCAGACCAAAAATGGCTGCTACATGTGCGCAAATAGTGTAAAAATATGTAATACCAAGGTTGTGGACCCTCTCGAGGTCACAATTTTTGTCTGATCTTGATGAAACTTAAAATATATCCGTATATCCAAAAGATCTCGGACCCTTTCGATATTTGTGCATATCAGACTGTAACTTCCTGGATTATGGCACCAGATTGTACAAAATGTTGCATTTTTATACGCCCACATTGATCAAGAGTTATGTCCCTTGATCACTTAAAATATCTTGTGGATGCTCTAGAGGCTAAAGATAATATCCGATTGATTTTAAATTTATACACAGTGTTTAAGGTCATGAGATGAAGAAGCCTATTGCTTTTCAGCGATTTTGGATAATTACTTCCAGAGTTATGGCCCTTGATCACTTTTAAATATCTTGTGGACGCTCTAGATGCTAAAGTTAATATCCGATTGACTTTGAATTTATATGTAGTGTTTGAGGTCGTGAGATGAAGAAGCCTCTTGATTTTCAACGATTTCCGATAATTACTGCCAAAGTTATGGCCCTTGATCACTCTGAAAAATCTTGTGATGCTCTAGAGGTTAAAGTTATCATCCGATTGACTTTGGATTGATACACAGAGTTTAAGGTCTTAAGACGAACAAGTATATTGATTTTCAATGAATTTTCATAACTTGAATAGCTAAATCCATGATATTAAATGTTTCATATACTAAACGTTAGCATGGGGCAGAACTTATAAAAACCAAATAAATTCTAATGATTTTCTGATAATTACTTAATGAGTTGTTACTCTTAATCAGATTTTAGTGTATTATAAAAGTTTCATTACCGAAAAAAGTAAAAATATGCGACAACTCTTGTTGACTGCCCGGGCGATTTAGCGGCTGTGGATGTATGTTTTGTTGCCTGGCAACCTATCTCTTTTTTTAGCTTGTTCTTTGTCCATCTCTTGAATTTGTGAATACCCCATGTATGGACCCAGGGGTTATTGGAGTAAAACAAAACAAACGATGTTAGCTTTGTAAGAGTTTTTTTTTTTTATTTTCTCTTTTCAGAAATATAATTGATTTAACAAAATGGCTGATTTTGGTTTTGCAAAATTTGGAGATGATGATGATAATGAAGAAGATGAAGAATATGATCCACAGGTAAATCAGAAAATATTAAATTAATTGAAAAAGAAATATACTCCCAATCAGTGAACAGAGCATTAAACATTGTTAGCCCGGATTTGTCACTCATCCAATTTGGAAAGACCCCAGATGTGAGGTCTTGTTTATACCTCAATAGTTCAAATTCAGAATCCTTATCCTATGAGGGTAGGTAGAGAAAATCTATTTTTGAAAAGAATCTTGTCCTTCATACTGCACAGAAGTACATGTATAGTAAATAAAAAGATTATGAACAGTGTTTAAAGATGCATTCCCACTAAAGTATTTTTAGGTTAGTTGCTGTCGATAAAAGTATGGCATATTTGGTATAGCCTATGGAATGTAGAGACACTCGATCTTCCTAGAAAAATACTACATTGCCTGAAAAACACACCAAGACAAAATTAATTGTTTCACAATATTTACAGTACGCCCATCACGATGGTTGGACAGGACACGATAAAACGTGGTTACTGTGTCGTTTTTTGTCGATAATTGCCACGATAAATAACTTGGCGTAGCAACAGCTACATAAGAAATTAACGGTATTTATTTGTCATAAACAATCGATGTCAAAACAATATACTGCCATGATGTTAACAACCTGACGGGATATTAGGAATATTGAATATTTTTGTCAACATTGTATAAAAAAGAACACACATGTTCACATATTCTGCACAATATACATGCCGTTATAATTCCATGCAGTCATGTAAAGCTGCATGTCTAGTACATGTAAAGGGCACGTATGCATAAAACTTTACAGAACAACTATATTACAGTTTCGATATTTATACTACTATTTATACTACGTTCGAAATGTTTTGTATTTACTGAATTAAAAGTGCCGTAGTTAAAAATTGCTCTAGAATCACGGTACAAGATATATTTTTAAATTGCAAACTACATGTATAAAGCTATTTTGATGATCAATCTTACAAATAGAAATATGATATAAATGGAACTTGCAACAGGATTTTACCGTAAATATGAAATGAAAACAACACAAGTTTACGATGGACGAGAACATTGGTTTATTGTAACCGCTATCAAATCCACACAAAAATCCCAGGCACTTGTTTTATTTTAGAAAAATATAATTGTATTTTGATCAGAGAGCCTATTCTACATGAACATTTTGCTAAAAAATTGTTTGTTGAATACATTCGTATATGTTAGTTACTGTTACGGAGATAGAAGTGTTCTCCTATATTTAATTTTTCATGATTTTAAATTCTGTTCACATTCCGTAATAACCGGCAGACATGTGATGAGCATGGCTGCATTTTCAATTATCAAGTTGTATGCCATTACAATTACAAAGTTTTTTATGTGCTTCTTAGAGAATTAATAGAATTAAAATTTGATGTAATGTTACGACACTTAATTAATTATATGTGAAGTCCAGTATGTCTGAATATCAAATACAGCCAAAAAGGGGACGTACGGTTAAGCATGGTCTCCAGCCGTTACAGTAAAAAACTTTATTGGGTTTGTCAAGAAAATTGTGATATGCTGCCGAGCACCGATAATGCCCAATTCAAGTAAAGAAAACTTTTGTGTTTAAGAAGTTGCCGTGGAATAAATGGAACAGAAAATAAAGGGACATAACTCTTATCGTTATTTAAGCAGGCGTTTTCAAACCACAATTAAGAATCACGTGTCAACAAAATATTCAAATTCATACGTAATAAAAAAATTAGATGCACCTCGTAATTTTTCATATTTAATTCCCGTACGGTATTCAATTATCAAGTTGTATACCATTACAATTACAAAGTTTTTTTATGTGCTTTTAGAGAATTAATAGAATTAAAATTGATATAATGTTACGACACTTAATTAATTATGACTTGTGTGAAGTCCAGTATGTCTGAATATCAAATACAGCCAAAAAGGGGACGCATGGTTAAGCAAGGTCTCCAGCCGTTGTTACAGTAAAAAACTTTATTGGGTTTGTCAAGAAAATTGTGATATGCTGCCGAGCACCGATAATGCCCAATTCAAGTAAAGAAAACTTTTGTGTTTAAGAAGTTGCCATGGAATAAATGGAACAGAAAATAAAGGGACATAACTCTTATCGTTATTTAAGCAGGCGTTTTCAAACCACAATTAAGAATCACGTGTCAACAAAATATTCAAATTCATACGTAATAAAAAAATTAGATGCACCTCGTAATTTTTCATATTTAATTCCCGTACGGTATTCAAATTTATGTCGATAATATTCCTAAAAAATTACATGACATCGTAATACCATAGAATGAAAGCGTGCCGACTACTGCCCATCCGTACTGGTTTCAAATTCCCCCAAAATTACCGTATTTTTCGGGTCTTAAGTCAATACATTTTTCAGCAAAGTCCGGCATCCGTCTTATACTCGGTTTCGATTTATATACGGAAGGTAAAAAAAATGACATCCCGAAATTTATTTGGCCGTAAACCAGTAGTAAACGTCGCTCTAACAGAACGAGCGAGTGACACCAACTGCTAAATAATCCCATTCGACTCTAAGCACGCGCTATTGTCTAAAAACAATTACTGTAACTACTTACGTTATTCCAATCGAAATATTCGTCAACATTTCTTAGCGTGTTGTACTCGGTTTCGATTTATATACGGAAGGTAAAAAAAATGACATCCCGAAATTTATTTGGCCGTAAACCAGTAGTAAACGTCGCTCTAACAGAACGAGCGAGTGACACCAACTGCTAAATAATCCCATTCGACTCTAAGCACGCGCTATTGTCTAAAAACAATTACTGTAACTACTTACGTTATTCCAATCGAAATATTCGTCAACATTTCTTAGCGTGTTGATTTATTTATTTAAAAACATAAACCCCATTCAAAATATCATAAATCCGACAATATGTCATGTAAATAGAATCTTCTCTGCCGACATCAGACGTATTACATTCGGCATGTTTACACCTCTTAATTCCATGTGTCTCGCGAGATTTCTACTTTCATTTTGCGTGTGTGTGAAATAGCTTTATTTAACTTTGGCTTCAACTGAAGAAATATCACAGACAAGTTATCGGACACAATGTATATTGATTTTGGGTGTTATATACTATTCGGATATGCAGGGCTGGCCACGAATAAATTGATGGCGAGCAGATGACTGCTCACGCAAATTTAGGTTTGGGCGAGCAAGGCGAGCAATAAAAATTGCTCACGCAAAATGTTGTTTGCGTGAGCACACATTTTGAAACATTGTTTCAATTTAAAATCATAAGAAAATTGCTATTCCTAGCACAAAGTTTGCAGTAAACATGTGTGACCATCGCTTTCTGTTTTTGACAGTCATACGTACTCTTCTTTATTAAAACCAATTTCTGTATGGATTTCTTCACCCCACGAAGTAAATGTGGATAGGGCAATCAGGTTGCCTTTGGCCATTATTACGCTTAGATTGAAAATTATACGACTGCACAATGGAATAAAAACCGAAGTTCTGATAAAATAGGAAATACCGATAAATATTAGTTTGAAACGTGTTCATTTAGCGTGAATGCCAAATGCCGGATGTAAACATTCTTTACTTTAGACTCGATTATCACGTGTTTGTTACTGGTGTTCGTAGGAAAACCAGTCATGACATTCAGGTCTAAAGTGTATTTTTAGTAACACAAGTTGCGAGGAACTTTATTAGCCAATCAAATTTCAGGAGGAAATGCCGCGTGCAGCTGGGTGAATCTCAGTTTGACAGACGAATTTATGAAGTTATTGACATTGTTGGGTTAGTTTCGGCAATAAACTTGTCAATATTTTGATTATTTTTACAGGGTTTTCTTAAAATTTTGCGCGAGCAACGAACCGCTCGCGTAAATGTAGATTTACGCGAGCAGTTGCTCGCGTCTCGTGGCAAGCCCTGGATATGTGACATATGACTAATGTCTACGGTCGACATCAAGGAGGTTAAAATGTGAGACAATGAGGAAATCACGGGTTAATCATATAGATTAAGTTTATTGGATTGATATATAGTTCTTGATGTCCGATTGGGCATATTCCTCGTCCGACAATTTAGGACGTTTGGAAAATAGCGTCGGACATGTCCGGAATATACGGGCAAAATCCCATCACTGAAACAAACATTAATTGGATTTGGAACTGTTAGTCTAAAACTGTGTCATGTGGAAACAAAAATTGTTAGAAATTCAATTGGAATTCATTTGGACTATCAAGACTCAAGAGTAAGAATAATTTATACATCATAGTTTTATAAAAAAAATTGATAAAATAGGCATTTTTAAGGACAAATTAGTTGTCAGCAATCAGTGACACAGCATGAGAATTCCCCAAGCCGAGATCAAAGAAAACCCGAGATCAAAGAAAACCTGTTTTCCAACATTGTTGATGATCACACTGTAACATTGGTACCGTTTAATCTAGCAGAAATAGCGTTAATTTCTACTCTGTGTCCAATTATTCATGTGATCGACTGATTCATTGACATCAAAGAGACATGTTGCTGAGAAGATTTATACCAGGATTTCAGTAAGAGGAACTTTTCATGTATTTGGATATTAGATATTATAAGGACCCTGCTTGTTTTGCTTTTGTTTTTTGATTAGAAATACTTGATTTTATTGTGACAAGACTAATTATAAACTAGATACGATTTGCTGTTATTGCCCGTTTCAATGGGGGGAAACTGTACCTACAATTGTTAGCAATTCCCCTCCTTCGATATTTCCTCAACATTCCCAAGGGGTGGGGATACAAAAATAAATGTTGGCTCAAATAGTCCCCCAAAGATGTCTAGATCATGGGTTCCACGTCGGCCGTATATGCCGGTCGAGACCTACGGCTATGGAAAATGACCGTTCCTAGATCTGACCTAATGGTCATTTTGCACGCCGGAAAGAGGGTCTTTTTTTAAAAAAAAAAAAGATTCAAACATGGCTACGATTGACCTTCACTGTGTAACTATACAAGAATGCACGTCGTCTAGAAGCCAATCTCGTGATTGGTGTTATAGAGTT